TTTTTTAAAGTAACCTCTATACCCAACATGGGGCTTGAACTCAGAAGTCCAAGATCAAGAGTCGCATGCCCGCCAGGTGCCCCGAAGTGGACGATTATCGACCTCCTTTATCAATGAAGAAAGTAAGGCACAAGGAAAATGGATTTGTTCAGATCACCTGTTGGGTAAGCAGTGGTGCAAATGGGGTCCGACCTAGATCCCCCAGCCTGACAGCACCAGTTTGGGGACCTGAACTGCAGTTCTCCATGGAAACTGCCCCTCGCCCTCTGCCTGTCTCTGCAGCAAAAGGGAAGGCGTGATTCTGGGAGTGAAGGGAACAAAGTCCTTCCTCCCAAGTCTCCCTATCGAGGGGCCACAGAGGGGCTGGGAGTACAGAGGATGCACCTCTAAGGCAGGAGGGGCCCAACTTGATTGTGGGGAGCCCTGGGGGGGCAGTTAGAAGCAATGGCAGCCCTCCCTACAAAGGCCTTGTGGAACGGGGGAGAAGTGAGCCAAGCCCAGCACCCTGTGCTTGGTGGTGGGAAGGGGGGAGGTGTGCACCTCAACCTCTCCCGTCTGCTTCTTCACTTGCAAACTGGGATGATAAGAGCCCCTCCTCAGCTTACTGTGAGCATTAATCCAGGCACGGGTCTTGGCATTACACCTGCCACACGGTAGCTGCTCAAAACATGGTCACTACCATCTCCTGCGGTTACTGTTCCCAAGGCTGACCAGCCTCCTAAGCTGTCAGTAAAAACGCTTTGATGGAGGGGTGACTGGCGCAGGGACTGGTGGGGTAGGGGATGCAGAGGGAGCTGCGGGCACACCCGGAGGGGCCTGGAGGACCACAGGGACCCCGGAGTCGTGTGGAAAGCAGCCTCCCCAGGGGGGCCCTTGGCCTGGAGAGCCGCCTGGAGTGTGCAGTGGGCGGGCAGCGCAGCACGACGCGGGTCACCAGGGTCCCCTGACGCTGCACATTCTCCGGGCTAAGAGTACTTGGTGGGGGTGGGAGGGGGGAGAAGCCTGCCTGGAGCCCTCCACTCCACCCAGCTCAGCGGGGGAGAGTCCGGCACCCCCTGGAGATGGCCCAGTAGGATCACTTGCGGCTAGGCGGTAACGGGGTCTGGAGCCATTAGAACACTGAAGTAGAGCTACAGATACCAGACGGATGAATCTCCAAAACAGTATTAAAGAAAGTACCCTGCACGATACTACGTCCCGTATCTAAAGTTTAAATACCCGTCTTGCTTGTTTATGGCTGTGAAACGCAGGGGATGATGAAGGCCCCAGTGAGATGGAGCGGGACTCCTGCTGGGTGACTGTGCAGAAGGCACGTGGGGAGGGAGCCCAGGGCTGGACTGGGGGAGCAAAGCACACCCTAGTCCTGGGAACTCCCAATGTGGGGTACAGAGGAGGAGGGGCTCTGAGCCCCGCCCAGCCCGGAGCCCAAGGGTCCAGTGACAAAGGCCTCCCCCATCTCCCTGCTGCAGGGGTCTGGAGCCAAAGCTCCACTCTGGGAGGAGGGGAGGAGGTGACGGGCCCATGAGAGCTGACTCTCCTTTCTGGGACTCACCTCTCCCTTCATCCACCCAACACCCTCCTAGAAACCAGGGGAGCGTGGCTTTGGGCCTGCACACCACCTTTCTCCAACGGCACCAGGCTGCCCGTGGGCCAGGACCATTCAGAGCCTGGCCCCAACAAGGACTCCATCCTAAGGACGCAGTGACTGAGCAAATCTGTTTTGTCTTCTTTTTTAAAAATTATTTATTTCTATTGAGGTAATTTACGTGATTAATATAATGCTAGCATAAGGAAGAAATTCAAACTCCCTGACCCACCCTTTCACATCCCAGTCATGCTCTCCAGAGGCAACAGCTTCCAGATCCTTCAACTGTTTCTTCTAGTATTTACTCCCTACTTAAAAACCATAAACTTAACTATTCTAAAAATCTGTGGTCTTTTTAAGAAGCCATAACTAACGTACCCTGAGTAGTATGCACATCTCGTGTTTTATGCATACATCTGCATGCCCACTGCCCAGAACAAGAGAGCAAAGAGTTCAGCTCCCGGGGAGCGCCCTTTGCAGCCCCCCAGCCCCCCTCACCCGCACCCCAGCCAGAAGCCCCCAGCATAAGTTATGACCTCATCAGGGTCCCTACCCTCAGCCGCACCAACATGTGGGGGCGGTCCTGTGCAGTGGAGGGCGGTCAGCAGCATCCCTGGCCGTCACTCACCTGTACAGGCAGAGTTAACAGCCCCTGCCCAAGATGTGCCCCAGATATCCTGGAGCCTGGGCACACCTACTTGACATGGTAAGCGGGGGGTGGGGAGACACTGAAGCAGATGAAATTAGGGACGCTCATCAGCGGACCTTAATGGAAGCAGATGGTCCTGAATTATGCAGGTGGGCCCAGCGCCACCACGTCGTTGGTGGAGGGGGGCAGCGTTGGAGGAGGAGGGGTGACAAGGACGAGGCTGGCAGGGTGCACCTTGCAGATGGAGGAGGGGGCTTCTAAAGCTGGAGAGGAGATGGATTCTCGCCTGAAGGCGTGCACCCCACCTGCACCTTGATTTTATCCCAGGCAGACCTGTTTCGAACTTCCAAATTTCCTAACTGTAAGATAATACATCTGTGTTGTTTTGAAGCTGAAAAGTTTGTGGTCTTTTTTTTTTTTTTTTT